CTGGCTTCTTGTACTGCGGTTGGCATCTGCTGGTCTCTGGAGCACTGTTGTTTGTGCACCCAATTGCTAAACATTCTGCAGGACACCACTGCTGATAACCTTGGCTGGTCTGTATTTTTGGGAGGGACAATGTTCCTGAGTTGCTGACTTGCTGTCCCAAGGATTCTGCTAGCTGCAGAACCCTGTGTTTGTTGCCACATCCTCCACCCAGCAAGTTGGCCCAGCTGTCCACACTTATGATTGAGTCAACTAACTGTTATGTAGGCCCATGGCTGCCCACTGGGTTTCAATTCAGCATTTGTACCATACAAAAACTCAGGACACCTTTGTAAAGTTAAACCCGAGGGCCTCCCTCTATTTGATCATGATGTGTTACATTTCTGTGACTGAATGTTAAATTTGGTACATGGAATAATCTATTTTGGATGCCAAGAGACTAATTAATTACTTCTTTCTTTCTACATTTCTTTTGTAACAAACTCTAATCTCTCTCTGGCCAAATGAATGCCACAGATGGATTAAGGAGAAGTCCTAATCACACCATCTTCCACATCCTCATCCCCAATTTTGTTGTGTCTGAGTCCAAAGCCTGTGTTCTTTTACTTCATCTCCAGGCCTTTGGCCTTGGCAAGTTTGAGGAGGTTTGGATATTAGAGGGAGAGAAATTAGAAGAAAAATGCCTGGTCACACTAAATGATACTAGTCTTGAATTCTCATAGAAACATCCTTATTTGCTTCTAAAATCCCTTCATCATAATTAAGAATCAGGCATTTTGGAAGCTTGACCATATTCCTTCATTCAGTACACATTCACAGAGTACCTAATTTGGGCAATATATTCTGACAGGTTATAAAGCATTGATGGTTCAGTGATAGTGGCAGAATTCTCACCTTCCATGCAGAAGACTGGGGTTCAATTCTCCAGCAATGCACCAACCTGTCAGTGGGGGTTTGCATGTTGTTATAATGCTGAACAAGTTTCAAAAGAATTTTCAGACTAAGACAGACTAGGAAGAAAGACCTGGCAATCTACTTCCAAAAATCAGTCAATGAAAACCCTGTGGATCACAGCAATCTGATCCCCAACCAATCATGAGAATGGATAGTATTTCCTTCCATTGTGCATGGGGTTGCCACGAGTCAAAGGCCAACAACACTCTGACAGGTACAATGTGTAACCCACTTAGTTTTCTATTACTGCTGCAAAAAATTACCACAAACTTAGTAACTTAAAATGATACAGATTTATTATTTTACAGTTCTGGAGGTCAGAAGTCCAAAATTGGGTCTTATAAGGCAAAAACCAAAATATCAGCAGTGCTGCATTCCTCCTGGAGGCTCTAGGGGAGAATCTGTTTCCTTGACTTTTCCAGTTTCTAGAGATTGCCCACGTTCCTTGGCTCATTGACCCTGTTTCATTTTCAAAGCCAGAAATGGCCAATGTTTCTCACGCTGCATCACTCTGACTCTGATCCTTTGCTTCTCTCTCATAAGGACCCTTCTGATTACATTGGCCCTACCTGGATAATCCACAATAATCTTGCCATCTCAAAACCCTTAATTTAATCACATCTACAAAGTACCTTTGGCTACTTAAGGTAACATATTCAAAAATTCCAGAGAGTAGGACATGGACATCTTTGGGGGTCATTATTCATCATACCACACCCACCCAGGGAGAAATAACCCTCAATTAGTGAAAAATATTTTATTCTACATGGAAGTTAATTTGGAGAACTACCAGTTACACAGTCAAACTCAGCCCCACACATATTCTTTTTTTTTTTTTTTTTTTTTTAAATATTTTATTGTACTTCAGGTGAAGGCTTACAGAACAGATAGTTTCTCATGTAACAGTAACACACATGCTGTTTTATGACATTGGTTAACAACCCCACAACATTTTAACCCTCTAAATACTCAAATTTTTTTTTTTTTTGGTGAAAATACACATAGCCAAAGATACGCCATTTCAAAATTTTTTTTTTACATACACATTTAAGTGACATTGACTACGCTCTTCTAATTATGCTGTTATTCTCACTTAAGATGAAGGCTTACAGGAAAAAATAGTCTCCCATTTGACAGTTACTACAAATGTTGCCCTATGACTATGGTTAACAATCTCACAACACATCAACAATATCCTTACTCTATTTTGTGTTCCCTATCATCAGCTTCCTACTCCCCTTCTGCCTTCTGGGCCTTGTCACTGGACTCCTGTACCTCGTTACTCTCATGGTTTTACTGGGCTGTCCACTCCCAGGCTGATCAGTGAAAATCAAAGGTAACTTTACCACTGAGCTTAAAGGGTGCCTGGGGGCCATACTCTCGGGGTTTCTCCAGTCTCCTTTAGGCCAGTAAATCTGGTTTTTTTTTTTTTTTTTTTTTGTGAGTTAGAATTATGCTCTACATCCTTCTCCAGCTCTGTCCAGAACCCTCTGTTGTGATCCTGGTCAGAGCAGTCAGCGGTGGTAGCCGGGCACCATCTAGCTGTACTGGACTCAGTCCGGTGAAGGTCTTGGTAGCTGTGGACAATTAGTCCTTTGGACTAATCTTTTCGTTGTATCCTGTTCTCTTCATTCTCACTTGCTCCCGAAGAGATGAGACCAGTGGAGTATCTTAGATGGCCACTCACAGGCTTTTAAGACCCCAGACACTACTCACCGAGGTAGAATGTAGAGCATTATCTTTATAAGTAGTGTCATGCCAATTGAGCTAGATGTTCCCCGAGACCACCCACACATATTCTTTTTGATAGTAAATTCACAACAGTTTCTGATCTTACAAGCCCACTTCAGGTGCGTTTTGTGTGTCCAACTCCTGTATAGTCCTATATAGTCCTGCTTTTAAAAGTGTTGTTGTTAGGTGCCGGTTGAGTCAGTTCCGACTCTAGTGACCCTATGTACAACAGAACAAAACACTGCCCAGTCCTGCACCATTCTTACAATCATTGTTATGCTTCAGCTCATTGTTGTAGCCACTGTGTCGATCTATCACGTTGAGGGTCTTCCTCTTTTTCACTGACCCTCTAGTTTACCGAGCATGATGTCCTTCTCCAGGCACTAGTCCCTCCTGATATCATGTCCAAAGTATGAGGCACAGTTGTGCCATCCTTGCTTCTAAGGAGCATTCTGGTTGTACTTCTTCCAAGATAGATTTGTTCATTCTTTTGGCAGTCCATAGTATATTCAATATTCTTCGCCAACATCATCATTCAAAGACATCAATTCTTCTTTGGTTTTCCCTATTCATTGGCCAGCTTTCGCATGCATATGAGGCAAATGAAAACACCACGGCTTGGGTCAGGCGCACTTTAGTCTTCAAGGTGACATCTTTACTTTTTAACACTTTAAAGAGGTCTTTTGCAGCAGATGTGCCCAATGCAATGCATTGTTTGATTTCCTGACTACTGCTTCCATGGGTGTTGATTGGGGATCCAAGTAAAACGAAATCCTTGACAACTTCAATCTTTTCTCCATTTATCCTGACGCTACTTATTGGTCCAGTTGTGAGGATTTTTGTTTTCTTTATGTTGAGGTGTAATCCATACTGAAGGCTGTAGTCTTTGATCTTCATCAGTAAGTGCTTCAAGTCCTCTTCACTTTCAGCAAGCAAGGTTGTGTCATCTGCATAACGCAGGCTGTTAATGAGAAGATTTAAATAATCTTAGTTGTATGAGATTTTTCTAAGTTTTTTTTTAATATGAAGTTTCAGATGAGGTAAATCAGATACAAAAATATCTGCAAAGAGCCGAACTAAACCTTGAACAATATACAATAAAACCCCAAGGCTTAAAATTGTTCCTTGAATATCAGTCCACAGGAATTGTGGAGCTCATAGGAAGAAGTGAGTTGCAGAAACTTTTTTTGTAACTTGGACAAAATAGTGAAAGGTCACAGAGAAAGGGGTACCATGCAGAGGTACAATTAGTGAGATACTTGGTGTTGAAATGTGATAAACGTTAGCTAACAAGCAATACGCTTCACATAAAGAAACTTTTCAAAATTTACAGGAAGTGTTCTTTGGTCCCCTGTGAGTAAAGACAGAGTGACAAATATAATTATATAGTCCACTGAACATAAATACGTGAAGAGGAGCAATTCTGAAAGTCCTTGACAAATTTGCAGACTATGGCAGAACGCTCCTTTGAAGTCAGTATGGCGAGACTGCAATTTGCTTACTTTGGACACATCATCAAGAAGGACCAATCGCTAGAAAATGATATCATGTTTGGTAAAGTAGAGCATCAGCAAAAACCAGGGAAACCCTCAGGAGCTGGACTGACACAATACCCACAACAAGGACTCATATATACCAAAGATCACGAAGATGGCACAAGACTGAAAAATCTTACCTTCTGATGGCAACTAACAACAAGGCTGAAAACCAGAAACTATAATGTTATTGTTCATTCCTTCAACATACAAAAATATTTTTTTCACAAATTACATCGATGTAATTAAAAAGTATTAATCCATTACTTTATTTCAGTGCTGTAATTTTTCTTTAACTGGGATAATTATATGTACTTAATTCAAGAAAATTCTCGCTATCTCCGTCTCTTTTCTGGGCGCCATTAGTATTCGTTTCTAGAAAATAATTTGTTAAAAAATGAGGCGCTCAAGGTGTCAAACGTGCCAGTTGGCCGCCGCTCACGGCCACGCACGGCGTCCTCCATACTCCTTTCCCCTAAGATACTCACTTTCCCAGTAGGGTCCGCGGCGGAGCTTCCCCCCGCCCTAAATGCCACTAGATGGCTGTCGCAACACTAGGGGGCGCCTTGTTCCTCCGCCCCGACACTGAGCACTTACGGTCCCCGAGCCCGCACAGAGATCCGCCTCGGGAAAAGGTCAACACACCCTCCCCCAGGTTGCCAACGAGGCAGGCTCTGATGCGCATGCGCAAACACGTCCATCCTGCACCCGGCTACAGCGCATGCTTACTCTGACACTCGCGTCTCCGCCCCGTCTCCCCGCGAGAATTTCCAGTTCCGGCCCTTTAGGGGCGGGGAGAAGCTTGAAAGATGCGTTTGTCGGTCGTCGCCGCCATCTCCCATGGCCGCGTGTTCCGTCGCCTGGGCCTTGGTCCCGAGTCCCGCATTCACCTGTTGCGGAACTTGCTTACGGGACTAGTGCGACACGAACGCATCGAGGCGTCATGGGCGCGCGTGGACGAGATGAGAGGCTACGCCGAGAAGGTGAGGGTCGGGGCCGCGTAAGGTAGATGCCGGCGGGATCCTCTAGTCCACCTAGCGGGTCTGGCCCGAGGGGAGTGCGGTCCGGCTGGATTTCGGGAGGGAGTAGGACCGTCCTGGTAAGCCTGCCAAAGTCTGAATCCCCAATTCCCTGAGCTGAGCCCACTTTTCCGGCGCCTCAAATGGAAGACCAGTTAAGGCTGTGGAGTTAGATGCTTTGCTACTGGAGCGAAGGGGTTGCGGTCTGGCATTGGAGGAGTATTAAGTTGGCGTTTCATTTCTTCCTCGGACCGAATCGATATTATGTGCTCACAGCTCATCGACTATGGAAAGCTGGGAGACACCAATGAACGAGCCATGCGCATGGCTGACTTCTGGCTCACGGTGAGTTCATCCTATCCGCCTCCCAAATTACGCCCTTTGCTTTCTTGGGGGTGGGGGGTGGATTTGTTAGGGCAGGGGGAACGAGGCAGAGTTAAGCGAGGGCATTCACTGCTGTACAGATGTTGTGAACTAAATTAGAAATATCTTTAGTTGAATTCGAATGTGAATCTGAATCTCAGCTACTTCCTGTAACTGATCCCTGTGTGTAACTTTGACTTTACCAGATTGTGGGGTGAGGGAGGTCTGTGTATGTGTGTTTGGACCGTACCTTTGTCAGTGGCTGAAAATTTAACTGCCTGTGCAATGGAACCTGACTTTGCTCTCTCCTAGGAGAAGGACTTGATCCCAAAGCTGTTTAAAGTGCTGGCTCCTCGGTACCAAGGTCAGAATGGGGGCTACACGAGAATGGTGCAGATCCCAAATCGGAGTGAGCAGGATCGGGCCAAGATGGCAGTGATTGAGTATAAAGGGAACTGCCTCCCACCGCTGCCACTGCCTCGCAGAGACAGCAATGTTACACTTCTAAACCAGCTGCTGCAGGGGCTGCAGCGAGACCTCAGCCAGGACAAGAAAGCCAGCATTCACAGCTCCCACACAGCTAAAACACCAAGAATTTAACTGTTACTGAAAAGTCTATGAGCCTCATCAGTGCCCATGTTCACAGGCCTTTGGAGCTCTCTTAATCGCTGAGAAGAACTTAAGCTAAAGTTGTAAAATGGACAGTCTTACTGGGGCCCAGAACCTTCTGGGGAGCCAGATGGCCCTCTTTTTGCACAATAGATAAAATCTCTTGTATGAATATATGTAAATTGATTTTTTTTCCCCCTTGGAATTTCTGGAGATGAGAGCTATACAAATGCTCAATCTACGTGGATAGAAAACTCACAGCTCATGTTTTTGGTTCTCAGATCTAGGTTGTGTTTGGTTAGCAATTTTGTTTTTCCTAATGCCAGATGGGGTGTGTTTCCTCTCATTCAAATTGGCCCCCAAAGGTGATTGAGTTTTGACATCTAGCATAGAGACTGACTCCTGGAGATTTCTTACAGAAAAATTGCTTCCTGACAGGAGGGGGAGAGTGAACATCTGGAAGTAAACCTCTAACAATCTGGTTCTTTAGGAACCTTCAGAGGACACTGTAACCACTTCTCTGTTTCTAGGCAGGAGCATACATTACCCTCTGTCTTCCTCTCAAGCATTGAGTGGGCCTTGGAGGAGAGGACCTGAGAACTCAGATGTGCTACCACCCCCACCGAAGGGGTGGAGGCATTCAGAAGAGGATGCATTCCAGGATGCACTTCTTCCTCTTGGAGGCAAGGAGGGGGTTGAAGTGGGAGGGGGATTAGGAAATTAAACCCGCTGGGAATTTCCTGGAAGTTTTTATTGTTAAATCTCAGCTCACCCGTCAGCTCAGAAAAAGGAAATCCGGCTTCAGAATGGCTAGGGCATGTGAGAAGCAGAGAGCTCCTTTATAGTTACTGATTACTGTGAAGCCAGGTTTGGCCCAGCCAAGCTGCCCAACTCTCAGGCTTGGAGGCTTGACTTGGTTGGTAGTTATGGGAAGACCTAAAGAGGGGTTATCACTTGCCTGAACAGTTGGTAACAGGGCCTGACAGTTGCTATATCCTTAGTGTATTAGGAAGAAGAGGTTTTATCTTAGGCTGGACCTTCAGAATATTTTACCCACTGAACCCATCCATTGTCTAAGATAATAAGGGGTGGGGGGAGGGTCACTGGTCTTACAGGTAAGCATGAGCTTCAGTGACAGAATTATTCCTGTGCCATTTCATTGCAGCTGCTCTAATCTGATACTCAACTGCTCCAAACAGGGCTCTTTCCCTCTTCAATTTATCCTTCACACTATTGCCAGAAAGCTCTTCCTGAACATTGTATTTTTAGTGACATGTAGGAGAGTTTCAAAACATTTGTTGAATAAACCTACAATTCTTTGTATCAGAGATTTTATTAATCTGGCCTATAAATTAGAACTTTTCCACCTCACCTGGCAGAATGTGTTCTCAAGTTCATCTGGGCACTTCATTAATAAATTCCAAACCCAAGAGAGGACCAGATAAGGTGGAATTCCCTTTTACCTCTTTTCTCAAAGTTCTCTGTCTCAGGCTCTAGTTCTTTTCAGCAAAGTTGACAGTGATGCTTACCCCCTTCTCAAAAGATAAACTTACTCTCAACCTCAACAGATTAGTAACATATAAGCCCAAGTATCCACAGCAGACACAAGTAGAAAAACCAGGCACTATTTCCTTACACTTAACTTCCACAGTCTGATTACCAAGTTGAGTTGATTTTGTTCCTGTAATGTTTCTCAAATTTGCAGTCACTTTGCTACCACTACAGTCTGACATCCAGGACACCTCTATCCTTGATTACTGCAACAACCTCCTAACTTGCCCCTCTCCACACTACAGCCATGTTGTTGTTAGGTGCTGTCAAGTGGTTCGGAATAATCGCGACCCTATAGGACAGAGTAGAATTGCCCCATAGGGTTTCCAAGGAGCAGCTGGTGGATTTGAACTGCCAACCTTTTGGTTAACAGCCGAGCTCTTAACCAGTACACCACCAGGGCTCCCACTACGCCATAGGGATAGAAATCCAATCATCTCATTTCCCTGCTTGAAGATCTCCAGTAGCTCATTTCCTACAAGGCAGAGTCAGTCCATCTTCCTTACTATGACTCCAGTGTGTGACCAGGCGTCTGTCTGCTCACTGTTGCCCATGCCTCAATGCTCCAGAAGCATAGAAGTCTGTTTTGGCTGTTCCCCTGTGCATAGCTCTCCTTAGGCCACCTTTTGTTCATGTAGCCCCTACTATCTAGAGAGCCCTTTCCCTTTTAGCTACCCAACTTCGGCATCTTCTGGGTGGCTCCTCTGACCATCCCTATACATAAATTCATTACTTTGTCAACCTAGGTGCCTCTACAATGCTTCCCTAATACACTGACCTTACCGCATTGCATTACAGATCCCTACAGTGGATGGGTTCCCAAACATCCACCTCCAGACTAGTCCAAAGCAGTCATGGTATTTCCATCCCCTTGCTACTGATGGGTTCAGGGATAGATAGGCTGAAACTAATTTGGGCCAGTGAGAATCCGGCTATATTCTGCATAAGAGTAGGTAGCGTGTAATTCTGAGTGCCATTGGGGAACTGGTTAGGCTGAAGCTGACACTGGAATGACAGATCAAAAGAACTAAAAAAAAACCAATTTCCTTGACAATATCGTCAAGGTATAGTACCTAGCACTCCCACACGAGAACCCAGGTTATGTCGAGATAATAATCTTTAGTGATTATTCCCATTTGAGCCTGAATTGTTGTTAATTGCCACCAAAAATAATCTGATATATTAATTCATATGCCTTTGAACCTTTAGCTTCTCAAATTTTTCTGCTATGATCCACAGATCAAAAAACATTTTACACCAGGACACATAATTTAACATTACTTAACTTCCCAAATATGCTTTACATTAATTTTTTTTACTCTTTTTCTAGTTCACCTTTTAAAAATGCTGTTCCCATTTCACTAAACTGATTTAACAATCCATTAATGAGTTTAAACCTGCTCTTTGAAAAAGGTGGGTTTCAGTATTCCAAGTGGCTCACCACTGGCCTCACTTGATATAATTCAGACTTCTCAGCATGACACACAAGGTCCTCTATGACTTCTTCAGTCCCCTCTCCGTCCATTATCTACTCCATGGGAAACTACTTGTTCTCTGAAGATACATGTTTGTGCATAATGTTCCCTGTACTGTAATGCTCTCTCTCAAGACCTACCTGCCATTCAAATCTGTTCAAAAGTCACTTTTTTGAGGCCTTCTCTAAATTGCACATCACCCTCCAATCTCGGCTAGATCCCCTCCTGTGTGCTATTACAGTCGTCTGGGCATACACCAAACATTTATCACACTATATGACAGTTGCCTGCCTGTTAAAACGATTCCTTCACTCAACTGTGCTGAAGCCAGGGCCTGGAACTCATTCTTCTTGGTAACTATTCCTAGCATAGGGCCTGATGCATAATACCAAGAACAACCAAACCCATTGCCATCAAGTAGGTTGTGACTCATAGCAACCCTGTGGGATGGAGTAGAACTGCCTGGTAGGGTTTCCAAGGAGCAGCTGGTGGTTTCAAACTGCCGACATTTTGGTTAGTAACTGAGCTCTTAAAACCACTGCACACCAGGGTTCCTTATACATAATAGGTGGTCGATATATGTTTATCAAATGAGGAGTAAGCTACATATTATCTGTGGCCATATTCAACTCTGGCTGGGCTTTACAAGGTAATAAACATGGTACTATGTGCAGGGACAGTGTTACGCTACACAGTGCTACACTACCAAGATGAAAGAAATGGACTTCTCCAGGGATTTACATGCTAATAGTGATTATCAAGAAAGTAAGAATATCTCAATGCATTTCTCACACATTTCACATTCTAATTTCCTAGAGTATTTTTAAACAACCTTGTTGTTATTAGGTGCCGTCAAGTCAATTCCAAATTATACCGACCCTGTGTACAACAGAAAGAAACACTGCCCAGTCCTGTGCCATCCTCACAATCATTGCTGTGTTTGAGCCCAGTGTTGCAGCCACTGTGTCAGTCTATCTCCTTGAGGTTCTTCCTCTTTTTGCTGACCCTCTACCCTACTGGAAACCCTGGTGGTGTGGTTAAGAGCTACGGCTGCTAACCAAAAGGTCGGCAGTTCGAATCCACCAGGCATTCCTTGGAAACTTATGGGGCAGCTCTGCTCTGTCCTACAGGGTCACTATGAGTCACAATCTACTCGAAGGCAACAGGTCTGCCTTACGAAGCATGATGTCCTTCTTCAGGAACTGGTCCCTCCTGATACTCTGTCCGAAGTACATGACATTAAGTCTCGCCATTATCGCTTCCAAGGAGCACTCTGGCTGTATTTCTTCCAAGACAGATTTGTTCATTCTTCTGACAGTCCATGGTATATTCAGTATTCTTTGACAACATAATAATTCAAAGGTATCAATTCTTTGGTCTTCCTTATTCATTGTACAACTTTTGCATGCATATGAGGCAACCGAAAATACCATGGCTTGCATCAGGTGCTCCTTAGTCCTCAAAGTGATATCTTTGCTTTTTATTAAACAGGGCTTTTACAGCACATTTGCCCAGTGCAATAAGTCATTTGATTTCTTCACTGCTGCTTTCATGGGCATTGATTGTGGATCCAAGTAAAATGAAATCCTTGACAACTTCAGTCATTTCTCCATTTATCATGATGTTGCTTATTGGTACAGCTGTAAGGATTTTGTTTTCTTTATGTTGAGGTGTAATCCATACTGAAGGCTGTAGTGCTTGATCTTCATCAGTAAGTGCTTCAAGTCCTCTGGTTTCAGCAAGGAAGGCTGTGTCGTCTGCATATCACAGGTTGTTAATGAATCCTCATCTGTAAAACTTGCATGGGGACGGCGTATGGCTGCCTCTAACTTCACAAGGGGGAAGGAGAATTAAAATCAACAGCCCAAGGTTGACCCCCTATGAGGCAGAGGTCAGACATGTCCCCTCTCTCCACCATTTTTACCAATTCTGACACCAACTGTCTCTCTTAAAAGCGGTCTCTAGTTCTGTGCTGGGTTCGATAATTCATTACAGTGGACACACAGAACTCACAGATAGTACTCATGATTATGGGTATTTATTTAATCTGAGATACCCTATAACAGCTTACAATTCAGGTTGAGGAACACTCAGGATACAGGACTATCAGGACAAACTCTTCCCAGCTGTGCCACAGGCAGGCCTCTCCCTGGCCCTTGGCCTCTGCCCTGCTCAGGCAAGTGTTACAAAGCTCTTTTAGCTCTTAATAAGTGCCCCAAGGCACCCTAATCTGTCAGTAAGCCTTGGTCCAAAGGCACTCAGCTCTAGCTCTGTGGGTTAGGAAGCCCACCACACCGTCTCCTGCTGGTCTCTCCTGCTACCATTTCTCTGCCACTGCTTCTCGCTGTCTTCAGTGTTAGAGCTCTTGCTCTGGCTCTTTTGTGCTCGCGCGCTTTCTCCCTCTTTCTGTCCATCTTTTGGTCTCCTGGTTCTAGGAGCTTCTCAGCACAGGGACCCCAGGTCCAAAGGATGCGCTTCCCTCCTGGATGTTCTTCCTTGGTGGTGGCGGGATCCTTTCTCTGCTCTGGACTTGGCTGTCAAGCCTAGCAGGATCGCAGAACTGACCAATCCCCTTGGTAGGTCACAATCACCTTATTTGCACAGTCCCACCCAGTCACTTGGGTGGCAGTTACAAGACCATGGCGAGAAAGGCCACACAAAAGCATTCCATCACACCACATCCTCCAATCCTGATGCCGTGTTCTTCATATAGTCCAGCTTCTGGAATTATTTGCTTAGCATACAGATTGAATAAGTGTGGTGAAAGGATACAATTCTAACGCACACCCTTTCTGATCTTAAACCACACGGTATCCCCTTGTTCTATTCAAACAACTGCCTCTTGGTCTGTACATGTTCCTCATGAGCATAATTAAATGTTCTGGAATTTCCATTCTTAATGTTATCCATAATTTGTTATAATCCACACAGTTGAATGCCTTTGCATAGTCAGTAAAACACAGGTAAACATCTTTCTGATATTCTCTGCTTTCAGCCAAGAACCATCTGACATCAATGATATCCCTCATTGTATGTCCTCTTCTGAATCCGGCTTGACTTCCTGGCAGTTCTCTGTTGATGTACTGCTGCAACTGTTTTTCTGAATTAACTGCAGCAAAATTTTACTTGCATGTGATATTAATGATATGTTCGATAATTTTCACGTTCTGTTGGATCACCTTTCTTTGGAATGAGTACAAATATGGATCACTTCCAGTTGGTTTGACAGGCAGCTGTCTTTCAAAATTCTTGGCACAGAGGCGTGAGCACCTCCAGCACTGCATACATTTGTTGA